GAGATTGTACAGGAAATTGTGTCCCTTCAAGTGAAGTGGTGCTTTTAAATGCATTTAGGAGGTCCAAACACATCCCATGTCGGAGATCATCTGAAATAAGCACTATATCTTGACTCTTCATCCCATTCAGCTTGGCTTCTACAAAATTCCTCCCAGTGAGACACTTCTGCTGATGCAGGATGAAAAACACCCATGCTATGCTCGCCGCGTGCCAAGTTTTTTTAGATGAAACCATCACTTCTGCAAACTCACCTTTATGCTTAACTGCCGACTTTAATTCCCCCCAACCACAGCTGTTTCTGTTTGGAACACATGACTGAACGACGCCGCTAACGCCGTCGTGCTTTTAGCAGCTGTTTCTTCTCGAGTTTCGTCGTGCCAATGAACGCAAAAAAATTGGAAATGTGGACCGTCATGCTCGGAAATGTGAATTATTACATTTCCCACGTTCACACAACGCAAAGTGTTCTCTCAGGAATTCAGCGAGAAATTGGAGAAAAACGAAAGCATTTTATTGCTTTTGAATTGGACTATTTTCAACTAACATGAAGGAAAATCCAGCCACTTTCATACTTGTAGAGCTATAGGGAAAGTGGAGTCGAGCTCACACTGCCCCGGTCGCCAGCCAATCGCAGAACACAGAGAGACAAAACATTCACGCAATTTAGAGAGTCTTCAATGAATCTAACATGCAAGTTTTGGGGAATGTGTGAAAAAGTTTGGCTACCCGGAGAACCTCATAACTGTGGGGCAGACATACTACGTCATCATCAGTCTATGGTGCTGCCCCAACATGAAGCAAAATGATGGAAATACTAAATCGTGAGAAGCCATAAAAAATGTTATATGTTGCCTTAGGTGACGGGGGATGCTTCATGAATTACAAAGTACAATGGCACGCAATAAGACCTCCCTAAGGGGAAATAATCCCAAATATGTCTGTCTGACTTCGATGAATTATCATGGTATCATGGCAACACGCATGACAATGTAGGTTCCAAGTACCATTAACAACTTTTTTTTTTTTTTAACGCAGCGCCATCTGGTGAACGTAGAGGGCTAAGGGACCACTTGGTGTGAATAAATTCTTGATTCGAATGTTTCTGTCTTTGCACCACAACTTCAGCATTTTTTTTACTGTCTGTACCTCGTTTTTTTTTGGGCCACAGCTTCGTGAAATTTACACATACTGGGTGGGGTGACCCAGAAATGAGGGCGTTCCCTGTCAAATTGCACGTTGTCCCCGAGACTTTTCTCAACCAGGAGGCTGTAGTAAGTCTAGCACCTCTTTATGGTTAAACGTCATCTCATATTGCGCGTTTTGAGTCAATTAATTGCTTCCGTGGTCCGCTAGTGACCGCCTGGTGATCGACTCATGAAGGTAGCTTGGAATTTGTCTATCATTACCATTTACAACCACAGTCATTGTAATGGTGACAAAGGTTAGGCTTTGAATCATTTGATTTAATTTGAAACAGTATCGGCTGGCCATCAAAGCCATAGAAGGTGACGACGTGCCCGCGTGTGCAGTGAGATGCATTGCTAGGCAACGCTTAAACAACAGCCAGCTCACTCACCTTTATCCTAATTAAAAACCTCCAAACCTGCATTCAGTCATGAGCACAGTCCTCTGATTAAATTACTTTTATTGTATTAAATAGAGAATGCAAATATACGCTCCTACAAATTAGACTGTTTGATGACTGGTGACGATCGACTTCCAGATCCTCTTCACACGTTCATTTCACATTTAAAATGTGAAATATTTGCTTTTGCTGGCATCAGTGCAAAGTGAACCACAAAATTGAAAAACTGCAGCCCAAAAGGTCGTAGTGCCCCATGGAGAGCTTAGCGAACGGTATTTGGTGAATAGGCTCTCTGAAAGCATCTTCAATGTATCTAGCATTGCACTCGAACATAAATTCAGTGGATAGCGGCTATAGAATGATAACAAAATAAGTCCATTATTTTGAATTTCAATTTCACTTCCACTTTTAAAAACCCGAACAAGACCCCTGGGTTACCCCCTTTTCTAATGTGAATACTGGGTTGCATAAACTTTTGAACGGGGCGTTGTTTTGTGTTCTGAGCATGCTGTTTCACAATCAATCTTGGTTTTTGTAGTACAGGAAGTACTGTAGAAAGTAACATCTGAAAATGACGTCTATTTGCATCATGACGTTGTCCCTGTTTGTCGTTTAAATCGGGGTACTTAAATGCGGAAGTAACTCTGTCCATTCACGTATGTAAATTGATTATTCCGAATGTTGGCACTAATTACACATTGTTACCAGCTGAGAGGAATGTAAAAAGTTAGTTTGGGGGATCAATAGTGTCATCCTGTTAATTCAATACAAGCCCAGAATTGAATCAAAGAACAAACTATTGATATTTGATCCTTTCTAACTGATTTGTAAGTATACTAATTCACAATTTTAATAATACTGTCAAGCGGTATCAACCGAGCAATATATCATAGTGCTGTTCTAGATGGAAGTGTGTTTCATTTTTAGCCTCATGACCGATTTAACCACTTGATTTGCACCTTAATGTGAAACATGGTATTTAGCACACATCTGATTCTGACAATGAAATGTCAGTTACAAAGCAACATTTTGCATTTCAAGTGTTTCTATTTTTAAAATAGTTAATAAAGAAGGATATATATTTTTTTTACCTGCGCAAGCGATAATGAGGAAGATGACAATTCGAAAATGCAAAGGCTATAGTTCGTCTTTCTTTCCGCAGCGTGGACTTTGACGCATCGCATTTGCATCTTTTTTTTTTTTTTTTTTTTAAATGCACTCATCACATCGCACATCACACGTGTAGGCACACAAGGAGAAATTCACAGAAAGGCGAGGCGCCAATTGTGCTGCTGTGCACACTTGAGGTGGGAGGTGGGGATGGCATTTTGCTCAAGGACACTTCGGCAGTCACCGGCAAGCAGACTAACATTTTTTTTTACATTTTGCTCCATCGTGGCATTCAAACCGTCCCTGGCCTTCACGATCATAAGACCAATTTCTGACAGAAAAGCCTACTGCTGGCACCATTTCAGTGATATCAGTATCTGTATTGATATTTGTATCAATATAGATATGGATGATCCCTTTTTGTGATGTTGGCTTCCACCGATGAACAGGAGATTTGTGCCATTGGTTTGTTGTCATTCATTGACAGAATGCTAAGCTATATTAACTGTATTGTGATGACTTGCAAGTGTGGGAAAAGTCTCGCATCTCCAGTTGGTAAGCCTCACAGTCAGTCTCTCAGCCAGCTATACAATATAATTGCAAGTGAGATGCGCTTTAATTGCCTTTTATAGCATTTTTAATCATGTGGAAAAAGAGTCCCTTGTGTTTGGAGACACTTAAGCAAGTGGAAGCCACAAGTCCGCCTGGCGTTGGCGCTAAAATGTACGGTCGGACGGGTTAGTTAATCTGCTTATGGCTGACCATTCATTATCCATTATCTATGCACGCAGGGTTGGCTCCAGCACGGAGCAGGCAGGCAATCTCACCGCAGCCGCCTGGAGGGACTCTTCACATTAGGATTAAATATTGTTATCGTCATGTAGAGCAGCTCGCACGTAATTAACTGGCGTGCTTCGAGGAAGTAAAGATACCCAGGCTGACCGCCGACCTCTGCGACGGAATATTAGGGCCACGATTCAATGAAAACAAAGGAAAATTACAAGGAAAGAAGAGGTGGAAATGTGTCCTCATCCCAGAAAAGAAGTCTCACTTGAACAGAATAAAGTTGGAATTCAAACTGAATGAGTGTCAAAATTCCCACTGGTTCACAAAAGGTTTTTCTTTTCTCATCATATGACAACATTATTTTCTTGATATGAATTTAATCTTATAACATGGCAACTTTTTTTTCCTAAAACGGTATGTTATATTTCATTTATTCAGTGAATGTTTGAGTCAAATAGATGATTGTAAATATTCATTGTAAAATATTTGATTTTGTTTTCACAGTGTTCTATAATGGACGAGCAATAAAATGATTGTGGGTATTGATGATGACAGATTTGACGGATGGATGGCCTGGCCGCTAGTGAATGTGAAGTGAGCTAGTGAAGTGAGCGGCAACATTTACGGATGTGACTACCTCTGATTGTTATTTCTTTTTCTCTCAAAAGCTCTACTTTTTTTTCTGACGACTGCTTCATTTTCGTTTTAGGTCCTTTGGCCGTTCTCATAACTTTTTTTCTTGCAGAATTTCTCCAGTGTACCCTTGGTTTAAGAACTTAATTAATTTTGTGACTGTGTTGACAATCTGAAATATTCTCAAACCAAAGCAATTCTTCCCATTAAGATGAATGGAAGTACAATTAATCCATTCCAGCCCCAAAACTAAGTCACCTTTGTGTGTGGGGATGACAAGAGAGTGGAAGGCGGGGCCTGCCGATGACCCGCCCAAACAGCAGCACCTTCTCTCGGGCTTCCTAATAGCATCATCACCTGCACTTTTCACCTTCTTGAGAGATAAAACTAGTGCTATTATTGGAAAGAAGAAAAAAAATCAAACTGAATCAATTTATCTGAAATTATGTAAATAAACCAACCTTCATGAAACAAGGTTCCACTTTTTTACCTGTGACTTTTTTTCTCAAAATAGTCTCACTTCACATATTAGAACCTACTTCTTGTAAAACTACATTATTCTGTTGATCCTTCTCGTGATATGATGCCTAACCCCCCCCATATGTCCGCTCTTTTTTTTCTTTTTTTTGGATTAGACTACATTTGGTTTCGTTAAAAGTCCAACTTTATTCTATTGTATTTTTAGTGTAGCTTGTGTAGTAGGGCTTACTTTTGGCAGTGGAGGTTGAAAACGTTCGTTTATCACATGGAAACTGAACAAGTGGTTGAGGTCTTGCTCCACCCTCAAACTCAGCAGCAAACCCCAAATGAGCACAACTGAGTTGTTTTTTTTTTCCCAAACCCATACATAAACATCTTGGTGTTCAAGTTGCATTGCAGTCTTACCTGGAATCTCCTGGAGTGGAACATGCGTGAAGCTGAAGCCCCTGGCTACACAAGCCTCCCTCGTCTCGCTGCAATTCCGTGCTTTCAATTCTGCTTTGGCTGCGATGCACAGCGCAGAAAAAGTGTAAACGAGCATCTCCAGTCTGAGCATTGTGGACTTGGATAAAAAGATCCAGGAGCTTCCCTGCTGTATCCTCTACTAATTAAAAAAAGACAAAAACAACAACAAAAAAAAGAAATAAAATAACAACAGGAGGATCCACTGGTACTTGGATCTTTTACTCAGTTAGTGTCTGCACAGCCAAGTAGAAGCACATGTCCCTAAGGAGAAAATGGGTTTAAAATGCAGCAAGGGGTGCTTAATTAAGAGCCCCCACCATGCACCGCTTGAGAGATGGCGCGCATGAATGTGCCACATGGATCCAGAGAAGAGAAGTGCTCTTCTCGCCACTGGCGCTCAACTTGTCTTAGCCCTGCAGCAGACGTGCGGTCCGGACTGAGAGCCGAGGCGCGCTGCGTTCAAGTGCAACTGCTGTGCGAGTGGGTGCAGAGGAGAGCCTCCTCTGTGCGCCGCGCATCGGATGCTCAGGCGGTGCGAAGCAGCTCACAAAATGTGGACTGGAATCTAACAGCAGAGACCAGTTTAAAAGTACTGCAGGGGGCAATTGAGATTCATGTGAATGCTTGGCTGTCCGAATTGATCTATTTTCTGATGCACAACTGTGTCACTGTGATTGTTTCTCTGTATTCCTACAATAACACGTGTCTATCAATGTTCTTTCAATATTATTCCTATTAAAAAAAAGAATAAGTAGTCCTCCTAGTGAAAATGTGCTGTAGCCTCACTGTAACTATTGAATGAATGCCGAGAGATTAGATTCTTACCCATTACATTTTGTGAGAATAGAAATGATTAACTGTTAAAGACAAAAGTTCCTCGAATAAAACTATGGATGAAAACAACAATGCTGAAAGGCAAACCAATAATTGAGCCAAAAACGAATGCAGCCTGTTTTTGAGCGAGCTCTTCCAACACACCTGATACAAAAGATCTGAATCCTTATTCGCCTCCTACAGAGCTTGCTGATGAGCTGATCGTTTGTGTGTGTGTGTGTATGTGTGTATATATATATATATATATATACTGTATATAGATATATATCTCTCTCTCTCTCTCTCTCTCTCTCTCTCTCTCTCTCTCTCTCTCCACACACACACACACACGTATAAAATAGGTTAGGTTAGTGCATAAACAAAATACAGTAAACATAAACATGAAATATACATGTAGTACTGTATATGTTGCTCTACGTGACTCGCTGTTGTTTTGCTGACTTTCGCTGCCTTTCCCGGATCTTTTGCGGCATTTTCGCAATTTTATTTTATTTTTTTTTGATGATGAATATTTTTGAAAAATCCGCGATGCACCGAAACGTGATAAGTAGCGAGGGATGACTGTATTACAGCACGGAGAGATGGAAAACATACAGGAAAGCAGGCCTCGAGGACCGGAGTTTGCCACCTATGCGCTACCGAGTCAGCCACCGTGCTGCGCTTAAGTTTGCCATAGTTGATGTCCTATATATTGACACGAGACTTACTTCAAAGTAAACAATGTTTTCATATTGACTTTCATATAAGGCAGGATCTGGTGTCATTCTTTCTTCCCGGTTCAAGCGCAACCATTCATATCTGCTCCAATGGCCCGCTGGCAGTAGACATAGGGAGACTTATTAAAAACAAAAAAACAAAACAAACAAAAAAAGAAAGATCCAGCCACAACTGTCACGCTCACCTGCTATGTATTTATTTTTAGTGCACATTTCCCAAAACAATCAGACAACTTTACACTCACACTTAATCACTGCTTAGCAATGTGTTGAAAAGAGTTACGGGAAGGAAGCTAAGCCAAGCTAACTTAGCCGGAGAAGCCTCAACACGCATGAGACAAGTTTAATCGGCATGACGATTTAGCAGAAGATGCTTTGCTCCCGTAAAGTAGAGATGGGAAAAACTGTGATGAGGCTTTAGCTTGTTGAGTGCTAGTTTACTTCGATAGAACCAAACCACCTACAGTATGTAGTCAACAAACACCACAGAATGTCTTCTAACTAACAATGATAGGATATATTGTACATATTGCCTGAAACTTTAACCAAACCATGGGCATCTTTTTTGTGCGTATTCCTCCATAGCAACAATGATAACATTGACTAAATGCGTCCATCTGCAACATAACGTGCGGCAAACACGGACACAGCCAAACATGTTTCCGGGCGACGCAAATGGTGCTAATTAGTTTTTAAATTATTTGTTATAATTTCGAGGCAGAAATTTTGTGTCAACCAATTTTTGTGGTCGACTTTACTGAGTTAGCCAATTTTTTCCCCAGGCCTTCCAAAAATAAAATAAAATAAAAAAAAATCCAGAGTGTCACTAATGTATGAATCAAAGTACGTATCATGAATCAATGTTGAGAAACAACCATTCCATCTCTTCAAAGCACTTACTACTCTGCTGATTGGATGATTCTGACGTAATCCCAATGCTAATCATTGCCACTAGGGGGCATAAAATCATGCATTTACATGCAATTACTGTACCATGGAAATCCAATTGCAAGGAAGCAGTGAATTTTCTCCGTTTGTGCTGTACAGCGAGGGATTATTGTTTGTAAGCATATTCCATTCCATTGTCTTTCTATGCTCCACCAAACAGGAAATCACATTAATGCGGTATCAAAGTGCATGAAGTCAGTGATGGATAAAAAGGCTGCGATGAAGAGCAGAAGGCAAAGCCTTCATGACATTATCGATTGCATCTTGATCCGAAGGGGTAGATCAACAGTGGATTAGCATGGCTGCCACGGCAGCGGAGATGATTCCGTAGGGAACGAGAAACCACCACCGTTTTACCTCGATGATAACAGATGTTTTGTTTCATGCAAAATAGATGGCTGGCGTACTGGTAACTTGTAGTCGTAAACTCCATATCTACATCATGCGTTACTTGCTCATCCAATATTCACAATGTGATTTTAGCATTCGTCCGACATTATGATCAACATTGCGGAGAGAGTATGAAAGCATGCAAAAGAGGAAACCTCATGCATTTTCAATGATCATGCATCGTATGCATCAGGCATCAGGTTGCAGACATACCCAAAAAAAATGCTCGAACATGTCCATCCACTTGCTCATATATTATGGAAATAAAATAATTAAATTTTAACTTGACTTGGGACTTGGGAGCCCAAATTAAAGAGATCACGAGTTCCCAAAATTTCAAGTATATATTTTTTTTAATCCCACTTTGTATCCCCTTGTTGAGCAGCAGTGGAAGAGTACCAGAAAAAAACAAACCAATTTATTTTATGCTAAAAATAGCTGTTCAAAATCAACTTAACTGCTTCCCTATGTAATAAAAATAAAAATAAATGCTGTGAGTCCAAATCACCTTTTAATGTAGTGTGCACTACTGATGGACCAGCCAGGACACCTGGGATGTTGTTTCACCACGAGAATGTTGCCGTTTTCGAAATTGCGGCCGTCCAACATTGCTGCGCACTAAAAGACGAGAACACAAATGGCTTCTATTAGCATTTAGCCTTCATCGGCTGGACTTCTTTGCTCGTTGTGACTTTTAAAAAAATTTGTTCAAATCACTGGTAATGACTTTGGGATAAACATTCCTACTAATAAAATTGAGTCCCAAAAAATGTGTGTATGTGAAGAGGCAGGCTTTCTTAATGGTAAAATCGTGCCTCAAAATTTGACACATTTCCCGCATTCTTACGAATGAAATGTCACAAAACAGGTACGCATGCTTTGAGACAAGTATTCTTACTCAGAAAATAAGGCCCAAAAAGTTGTATGAATACTGAAATGCAAACATTCTTAATAAAATACAGTGGTGATAAGAGTTGAATTTGTTCCATGACCACACTCATAACTCAAAACACCTCAAATCGTACCTCAAATCATCTTTCCCCATTGAAATGAATGGACCTGCCATTAAACCCCCATGCAATGCAGGTACACTTCATGTACACCTGACATGCGTTGTGTTGTAAAAACGAATGCATGCCACAGGTTTAAAACCCATGCATGGCATGCATTTGTTTTTGCAACACAACGCATGTCAGGTGTACATGAAGTGTACCTGCATTGCACAGGGGTTAAACCGTTCCAGCACACACACCCTCACCTCCCGCCCCCAACACCCACACACACAAAAAGCTGCTTTAGTATATATTTCAGCAAGGAATAACAAAACCCTCCAAAATATTGTTCAGAATTTGATACAATTAAAAAGATTGACATCGTTTTTGTCACACGATTCAATTGAATGGCTGTTGTGCCGCTCCTTGTGGTGTGCCCGCCTTTTCCACCAAGGGGCAATATAAAACAGACAGACAGCAATACTATTCATTGGGAAGTCTTACCTCTTCAGTTCATCAATACGACACTAATATTAGTCGGTCTACGCTTAGGACAAAGAATATATGAATGAATGACTAAATTCATTCTTACGTGAATTTTTTTTTAGACTGGATCATATTCGTATGTTGGTTTCATTTCCAAACTGTCTGCTCCACAGTTTCACTCCATTTGTTTTGCAAAATGTCGATGTGAGAACATAGACTGACGGGCGTTCTTTGTGCAAATACAATGTTGTCGCAAAAGCTTGAGGGGAAAGCATTCTTACTCATGAAAATGTGTTGTAATTGCATGAAAGCGGGAAGAGAGACAGAAAACTCTGCTGCACATTGAAAAGACGTGATGTTAATATCCAAACGGCTTTTGTTTGCCTTTAGTATTCAACTTCTCGAGGTGGTTTAAATAGAAATTACCGGTTTACCGCTGTTGACTATATTCACAACAGTATCTAAACATGAATTTCATTTCAGAGCTGGCGTCCGGAAGCAGGAAACTGCAGATCCTTACTCTAGCTTTAATTATTCGCTCCGGGATCTTTATTTTATCTTGTTATTCCTCCAGCTTGTGTTACCCACAAAAGGTATCAAAAATAAATAAATTTAAAGAGAGAGAAGGGGGAAAAAAAAAAAAAGCTTTTGCGCTTGCTGCTCTTGTAATTTGCATCAGTCAACAGGAACCGTGTGGGCTGCCAGCGCACAGGTATTGTTCCAGAAATCTTTTTGGCCTGACAATGAGACTTGGCAGTTGGTGCGACCCAAAAACAATTACGGTACAAGTTCATTTTTGCAAGCCATTATTCTCAGGATAAAAAGCAAGCCGCCTGAGGATGGGGGGTGGCGGGTGGGTGGGAGGGGGGCTGTAATTTGCATATTTATTTGTCAAACAAGCGGAGCTTTAAAGCCACCGAAACAACGGCGTATATGGAGGACGGCTCCCTTCAGTTAATGATTCTAAATGTTCAATGTAGGCTTGTGAGCAAAACGTCTCAAGTGGCATTAAGTGCAATCATGATTATTAATCATAAACTCCATTCTTCTCTGTGGGGTGTTGACAAATTAGGAAATGTGAAACTCATGTTGCCATTACTCCTGGAAGTTACTTTTTATTCTTTTTGACCAGCGTTCTCTGGCTTTGAAGATGTTTCCTGGGATAGAGTGTG